ATGCAATCGGTGTAACCTAATTCTTTGTAACCTCAATGAAGCCCAAACAATTAAAATAAAAACAAAAAAGCAGAACCACAGCTAGAGCTCAGATGGGCTAACACAGCTGCCCGCCCCTTGCCCATGTGCTGGCTTCATGTTTTGGCTTCCTCTGACCTCGAAGCTACAATTTTACAGCGTACAATGTGTGTGTTTTCTTCAGGAGAACCAGGTCACGCTGGTGAACACGAGCTCACACTCTCAATGGTACTTAACTGCGTTCCCACGTCTTCTCGACTATTTTGTGCTCTGCCTTCTCACCTGTCATTGGCCTCCTCCCTCTGATGCCTGCAGTGTCAGGTTTGGGGACCTCAGGACACGAGAATACTTTCAGTTACCATTGCTCAGGTTCCTGCCCCCCTCGAACCTTCCATCTTTTCTCCTCACTTCCTACGGCAGGTTGAACGGCACCCCTCTGAATCTCTCTCTCTCTCTCTCTCTAACACACACACACACACACACACACAAATCTGCTTGGAAACTGTGAATGTGACCTTCTTTGGAATAAAAGGGTCTTTCTTGATGAGATCATGCTGAATCAGGGCAGGCCCTAAAGCCAAAGACAAGTGTCCTATTAAGAGAAGACGCAGGCTCGGCGCCTGTGGCTCAAGTGGCTAAGGCGCCAGCCACATATACCTAAGGTGGCAGGTTCAAATCCAGACCGGCCGCCAAACAACAATGATGGCTGCAACTACAAAATAGCTGGGCATTGTGGCAGGTGCCTATGGTCCCAGCTACTTGGGAGGCTGAGGCAGGAAACTCGCTTGAGCCCAGGAGTTGGAGGTTGCTGTGAGCTGTGATGCTACAGCACTCTACCCAGGGTGATAGCTTGAGGCTCTGTCTCAAAAAAAAAAAAAGAGAAGATGCAGACAGAGTTGGGGGTGTGGGGGAAAGACACACAGGCCGTGTGAAGGTGCAGGCAGAGCTCTGTTGCCACAAAACCAAGACATACCTGGAGCCCCAGGAGACAGAAAGGTGAGGAAGGTCCTTCCCTGTGCCTTGGAGGGCAGCTGGCCCTGCAGAGACCTGTCAGTTTGCAGTTCTTTTCTTCTCCCCCAGTGGTACATTTAAAATTTCACTTTGCCTTTATTGTACTTAAACTACTCCCAGTCCCTTCCCGGTGCTTTTAGTCCCACAGCCATTGCCTTAAGCTCAGCCCTTTCTCTCCAGCCAGGCCAGGAGGTGGTCTCTTCCCTGCCCTCCACTCAGCCTGCCTTCCAAGCACGGAGGCCAGTCCGGCTGGAGATTCTGAATGAGCTGTTGCGACGGGGCATCAGCATCAGGACTTTTAAAACATTCCTCGAGCCATTTTGGAGTGCAGCCTGTGAACCACCACATACCTCACATTCTGCAAGGAGACTCTGCACATGCCAGAGGCATCAGGTCATTTCCCAGAAACGTTAAATCTCAGTTCAGAGTCCACCATCTGGGATCCCCGCTCCCCTGTCACCTCCTTTCCTGCCAAGGTAATTTCCTTGTGACCTTTATGTCTAAAGAGAAGTGATGTCCTTCCCTCTCAAAGCACACACACATATACATGCACTCATGAGATGTGGTCTAACAAAAGATTTCTGTGGTATATTTATAAAGGCGAGTCTGTGAGGCACAGATTTTCCAGGCTGAAACACTGGAATGAGGAAAGGTTTGAGCATTTATAAAAACAATGGGATAACATAATTGAAACCAAGTCAGACGTTTCCCCCCCAAACAGATTTTTTTTTTATTATTTGCTAGCTTGACCCCTTTATTTTTCAGCAACTTTTTATAGAATAGGAACCATTAAAAGCCTCTCTTTTGAAAGAGATTCCAGAGAACATCTCTGAGGCCAGCTGACCTGAAGGAAGGCCGCCCACACTGTCATCAACGAGGGTGAGGCCTGGCTGGGCACATGGACAGAGGCACTGACCGGAATTTCATAACCCCGGGTTGCAACACCGCTGCCCAGTGATGCCCGGGCCTGGCCTCTCCTCCTCTCTGGAGCAGCCCTTCCCCACCTCTTCCCAGAAAGGAAGGTGGGTCATATTTTCACCAAATGAAAGAAAATTAAAACTGAAACACAATGCTGCGTTTTGAGGGTCCTGGGGAATTCGACTCTATCAGAGTGGAGCTACCTTGTCAGGGAATGGAAATGTCTTCCAAGGGGTCAGAAGTTCACAGGAGCTTGATGCTGCTACTGTTTCTCACCTAGTTCCTATATTTACAAAAAAGGGAACAGAAAGAGAGGAACTGCACAAGTTGGCCCTGTCTGATGTGTCCCGACTGCCTGGCACTGTTCTCCACAGCGCAGTGTGCGTACTTAGCCCTAATGAGAGTGTGACAGGTGAAGCCAGAATGGAGGTCTGTCTGTCTGTTTGCCTGAGACACGTTCTCCTTCTGTCCCCCAAGCCAGAGTGAAGAGGTGTTGTCACAGCTCACAGCAACCTCAAACCCCAGAGCTCAAGAGATCCTCCTGCCTCAGCCTCCCCAGAGCTGGAACTATAGGCACACACCACCAGGCCTGGCTAATTTTTCCACTTTTTGTAGAGACAGGTCTTGCTCTTACTCAGGCTGGTCTTGAACTCCTGAGCTCAACTCCTGAGGCCTTGGTCTTCCAAAGTGCTAGGATTACAGGCGTGAAGAGTGGAGTTTCTGGCTTGGTGCCTGTAGCTCAGCAGTTAGGGTGCTGGCCACATGCACTGAGGCTGGCAGGTTCAAACCCAGCCTGGGCCTGCCAAACAACAATGTCAACTACAACCAAAAAATATTAGGGCGTTGTGGCAGGTGCCTGTAGTCCCAGCTATTTGGCAGGCTGAGGCAAGAGAATCACTGAGCCCAAGAGTTTGAGGTTGTTGTTAGGTATGATGCCACAGCCCTCTACCAAGGGCAACACAGTGAGACTCTGCCTTAGAAACTCCATTCTTTTTTTTTTTTTTAACAAGTCTGGACTGGAATTCAGGGACCTGTTTCTAGGCCTCACGCTGCATTTATCAAGGTGTTTTCCTGTTGGTTGGGTACTGCAGCTTCCTAGAGGTGGCCCCAGATCTCCATCCAACAGATATGAAAACTGGGGCCAGACAGCAGTGGTTCACTCCAAGCCACAGGAACCAATACATGCAAATTAGGGTGACTGACTCATTTTGGTTTTCCCAGGACTTTCCAAGTTTAGCACCAAAAGTTTGGCATCTCAGGACCCCATTTAGTCGCTGGCCAACGGAGATGCTTGGTCCTCAGTGTCAGAGCACACAGTGGGCTACTCTGGACCACAGCCGCGCTCTGCACAGTGCCGGCAGTCTCTGCTCCCAGTGCAGATCTGTGACTTGGCTCAATGCGACAGCTCTCTGCAGAGAACTTTGAAAGCAGCAAATAGTTCTCATCATTTATATCTTTCCAGTAACACTTAGAAATACATAAGCATCAGGGCAGGCTGAGTGTTCATTGAATTCTAGATCATTCTTTATTCATTGGTAAGTGGAAAAGCAGACAGTGTGGGGAAGGCAAGGAGCTTATTCTAAGGTCATGGCAACGTCTGCACCCTCAGTTGGTAGGTTGTGAACTCTGTGCTCTTGGCCCTTATTTAGGTATGATAGAAAAAGATGTCCAGAGTCTCACTGTGTCACCCTCGGTAGAGTGCTGTGGCATCACAGCTCACAGCAACCTCAAACTCTTGGGCTTAGGCAATTTTCTTACCTCAGCCTCCCAAGTATCTGGGACTACAGGCGCCTGCCACAAATAGCCTGACTGTTTTTTGTTGCAATTGTCATTGTTGTTTAGCTGGCCCAGGCCAGGTCTGAACCTGCCAGCTTTGGTGGATGTGGCTGGCCGTAACTACTGTGCTACAGGTGCCAAGGCAATGTCCAGAGTCTTCAAGTATTAGCCCTACTTTTGCCACTAATAATGACTCAGACAAGTGGCTTCCTCTAGACTTTAGCTACCCCAAACGTACAAGGAGGGAATTAAGACCAGATGGTTTGCAGATTCTAGGCCATGGACTACATTCAGTGGAAAAAAACTGCCGATAAAGCCTGGCTTCTGTAACAGATTTGAATTACAGGTTAAGCCATAATTAAGAATCAACAAAGAGGTACTGTTTGTTATCAAGTTCCTTCTTCTTCTCAGAAATTCTTACCAGCACCCTGAAAGCACCCAAGATCCCCCTGTCCTCTTGTTTTGCTTTGACAGCAAATGGAGAAAACTAATTTACACCAAAATGTTAGGGGTAGTGACTCAGAGCAGTTTAGAAGTAAGCCATCTTGGAGAAATCTGGATTACAACATATATCCCATGCAGAGGAAAGAATTTGTAACACTGAAGTTCAGCTGTTCTGTGGGAGGACCTTTTCTTGTTTTTTTGTAGAGACAGAGTTTCACTTTATCACCCACGTTAGAGTGCTGTGGTGTCACACAGCTCACCGCAAACTCCAGCTCTTGGGCTTAGGCGATTTTCTTGCCTCAGCCTCCCGACTAGCTGAGACTACAGGCGCCCACCACAACGCCTGGCTATTTTTTTGTTGCAGTTTGGCAGGGGCTGCGTCTGAGCCCGCTACCCTCAGTATATGGGGCTGGCGCCCTGCCCACTGAGCCACAGGTGCCACCCCAGAGGGCCTTCTCTTGCTAACACGTCACATGACACAGGAGAACACACCTGGGAAGCCCCATGGTGCTATGACCCAGGCTCTATATTTGTGTATATAATTTATCTAAGTTCATTCTTTTTCTTGATACCTATAGCTTTGGGTACAATTTTCCTGGCCTAAGTGACTATCCAGCACAAGAAAGTGGCACAAAGCCATCCCATTTAGATCCTCTGCTATAGCGGGCGATTATAACCCTATGCCCTATCAGCATCTTTCTCCAGTTGATGGGTTGGTGTTCATATTGTATCTCTCCAAATAACCACATACATTTACAAAAAGAAAAAAGAAAAACAACCAACCAACAACTCAAGAAACTTATTTCTGACCTGGTCTGAGCCTCTGTCCTTACCAGAGGATTTGGAAGAAGAAAGCCATACTCTTCTGAGATGTGGAATCTTCCTAAGGACAACGGCAGCTCTGTCTTCGTGCTCTGTCTCTGGGGCTCCATGATTTTGTTTGAAGTGTCTGCACTGAAGCCGCCACGGTGTAGACAGCTGAATGCATCCAAGACCCAGGTTCAGAAACTTCAAAACTGGGTCTTCTGGTTGCAGCTGGCTGTGCAGTGTGTCAGCAACAGGGGAGAACCTTGCCCTGAGGTCCAGACTGCCATGAACTTTCTCTGAGACAAGGCTGAGCAAACAGTTAAAGACTGCTGATGAGACAAATAGGCAAAGTAAACCAACTCTCACACACACGAGCCCCCACAAAACCCTCTGCTTGTCCCACTCACACCTGCAACATGAGAAGATTGGTTTTAAACCCAGAGACGAATTTCCTCCACTTTGGAAAGGGAGACTGAACTAGATACACATGGCTGATCAAACTTGTATCCTGGCAGGAATCTGGTCCGTGATGACCCTGACAGCTGGGCCACAGCTGTCCCCTGAGAGTGAACTATTAAAACTAGAAGTTACATTCCGGCAGTTGTTTCAGCGATGGGTGAGGAGGCTGGGAAAAGGACTCTGAGGACTCACCAGAAAGCTCAGAGGGGTTTTGTATGCCATTTGAACAAAATAGCCTACAATGGTTATTGTTTGTATTTAAGAAGTAATATTTTTTGAAATCTTTGATCATATTAAAGTAAAATATATATCATTACATTCAAACCTGTACTGTTATTAAACAACTTTTCAGAACCCACCATGAAGAGGGGTGACTTTACTTAGGAAGTAGGGTACCTCTAGTGCTTAGAGATCAGTCAGCAGAGCCACATGCATGTGAATAGCCCTGTCCAGTGTCACACTACTGTCCATTAACAGACAGAGGACTTGAGCTAATGTTTCTCAATTTTCAAGCCATCGCCCTGTTTACCAGATCAGGCTGCTAGTCTGCCCAAGGTGCCATCACAGTTAAAATTCCAGTCTGTATAGAGCCCAGTATGGTGTCCACTCTTCACAGATCTGCACTGGGGAAATTCTGAAAGCCCCATCTTTTGCCCAGTGGACCCTGAACTTAGGTCATTAGGTTATAAATAGATTTATTCAGCTGCTAATTTATCCATACACACCTCCCCATCTTCCCTTTCTCTAAGATACTTAGAAAAGCTAAAAGCTGTACTAACTCAGTAAACAGTTCCCACAGAAGAGGAGGTTTCAGTTTTGAAGGTTGTGTGCCCCAAAGCAGCCTAACTGATTTATGGCCCATTCTGAGGCTCCTGAGAGCCACTCTCAGCCACCTACTTCCCCTCTCTGATTAGTCTGGCCAGGACTTCCAGTGCTGCATGGAAAGTGTTAAAAGCCAGCATCTTGGAAGAAAGTAGAAAACACCTTTCCCCAGTCAGTATGATGTGAGTGTGGATTTATTATTTTGGGGTACATCCCTTCTGTATTTAACTTGTAAAGAGTTTTTATTGTAAGGAAAACCATCCACTTCCCCTCAGCCCCGTATCCAGCCAGCTTTGCAGTCCAGTATCTTACACTTCCCAGAAGCAGTTTCTCAACCTTTGTGTGTTTAACCATCCTCTTGGTCTTGCCTTCTTCCGCAGACGAAAAGGTACCTCATTTACACACTCAGTCACACCTGCTCCTTCCCACTGCCTCTGCACCCTCTGGAGAGTTTGCTGAAACGCAGTAAAGCCATAAAATCATAAAAACTTAGAACTGAAAGAGTCATGGAAAATGTTGTGGCTCAAAACCCTCATTAAACACAATAACCCGAGATTTATGGGGATGAAGGGACTTCCCAAGGCCAGGGTGCTGTCACTCTGGACATTTGCATCGGAGCTGGTGTAGAATCTTGATTTGTTGCCTGTCCTCCTGGTACTCGCTCAGGCCCACCAGAGAATGAATCTCTGTTCTATCACCCATTAGCTATGTGGCCCTTTGAGCAAGTAACTTAAAATTCTGAGCCGCCTCTGTTCCCACATCTACAGGAAATAAGTGATGTTTACCCCAGAGATGTTACGTGATGAATTAATGAAGCACTTCACATACAACAGTGGACGTTGTGTCTCTCATGCTGCTTTCTCCCCGCTCTGGGAATCTTCAATGCTCTGTACTTCTCTCCTGCTGTTCTCACTATATCTTTGGTTTAGCCATGCCTCCTTTTTTGGTTTCAGTCCTGGGCACACAGATACCTGCAGGGTAATTACAGCCATTGATCTTCCTCCATGTTCAGATGTGTTTCCATCTCATCCTGCCCCATCAATTCTATCCCCAGGTTCCTGTTTTCTTGTTCCCCAAAGTCCAGACCCCTGTTACTTGTGGGTCTGTAAATAGCTCAGGTCCCGCCAGAATAAGCTTCTAGAGCTCCTAGTGGGTAATGAAATACAGTTCAACTTTTCTTGGTCTGGCATGCCGAGATGTCGTGATCTGAAACTTCCCTACCTGTACACCGACCTCAAATGCGATTTGCTGCTCCTGAAACCACCATAACTCAGTTACCTATGTTGCTGTGTTTATACCATCTCCTCTTTCAGAAAATTTCTCTTGATTGTCACCACATCTAAACTCCACTCATATTTTGTTAAGTTCTTATTTTAATTTTATTTTTTTGAGACAGAGTCTCACGATGTCACCCTCAGTGGAGTGCTGTGGTGTCATAACTCACAGCAACCTCAAACTCTTGGGCTTAAGTGAGTCTCCTGCCTCACCCTCCCAAGAAGCTGGGACTAAAGGCACCTGCCACAACACGCCTGGCTATTTTTTTTTCTTGTTGCAGTTGTCATTGTTGTTTTAGCTGGCCCAGGCCAGGTTCGAACCCACCAGCCTCAGCGCATGTGGCCGGTGCCCTACTCACTGAGCTATGGGCACCACCCATAAGTTTTTATTTTAATTTTTAATTACCACACAACACACAAGAATTTTACACCTTCATGAGGTGCCCGTGATATCTTGGTACATGTATGCAGTACGTAATGATCAAATCAAGTGACAAGCATCCTTGTCACCTCAAGACATTTACGATTTCTTTGTGTCAGGAAGTAGAGTGCTATTGCAGACGGGGTGGGGTGGGAGAGGTTGGTTAGTGCATACAAAACTGTAGTTAATCTCACTACTTCACTTGACTAGTCTTAAAAAACAAAAAAATATAGTAAAATTAGAAAGAACAAATTCCACTGTTCTGCAGCACAGCCCAGCAGCTGAAGTTAACCATAATTTATTGTATATATATCCAAATAGCTAGAAGAGAGGACTGGAATATTTCCCAGCATAAACTGCACCTGCCTCTCGTGATCTCAGTACCGTGAACCATTTTTCAGAACTATTCTTTCCTTCTATGAAGTTCTACTGTCAACCTGAATCTCTTTCACCACCTGTCAAGGTCTCCTGGAATTGACCATTACTGAGATTTTCACCTTGTCTCTCCTATCAGATGATAAGCCCCTTGGAAACAGAACCCACACTGCACCCAATTTTGTATTTTTCTGCAGCAGCAAGTCCACTGTCTGGTGCTCACTAAGTATTGGTTGAATCAGTGATGTCTGGGAGCCTCATCATGGACCCTGAACTTCTAGAACTGGGGTCTTGATGTCACTTAGACCTTTGTGCTGGTCTCTGCTGCTCTGCTTAACTCCTAGAAATGCTCCCTGCAGAATGGGGCACAGGGCCACACCCTGCATAGAGCACTGTCTGGCATCTTATTTATTAAGAGGAAGTTGGCTAGGACATAACTGTGCTTGGGAACTTCCTCTCCTGGCAGGAGGGCTGGGAGTGTCTGAGCCCCGGGGTCCACCTTCAGCTTTCCTGTGATTTACGGTAGTGTCAGGACATACCGAGGATTCCATTTCGTTGGAATTGGGTAGTAGGGCCTTCTGGACGTGGAAATTAGAAAAAGAAGAAAACGTGTTTATAATCGAAAACTTTAGGGCGTGTTTGTGTGTTTACTGAGCATCACATCAGATATGCCAAGTTTCACTTTCCAGCTGATAAAGTACTAAATCTGAATGGTCCAGACAATCAACAGAACCGCACGGTACAATGGGACCCGTCCTGGCCAGCCCGTTAATCACGCCTTTGTTTCTAATGTCAATAGGGACTTTTAGTCCTTTCCTTGATTAAGTGCTCAGGCTTCTGGCATTCCAACCTACTGTTTTTTCCTTTTTTGGTTTATTTTTTAACTCTTTTCTCTTCTTGACATCTTCCACAAAATCTGCTTCTCTTCATTTTATGGCAGTTGACGATAATGACAATGACAAGTAATAGCTAACAGTCACCGAACTGTGTTCTGTGCTGAGTCACAGAGTAAACTTGTGCTATGGAGAAGTTCATCAGACCCTCCCAAGAGCCCTGAAAGTCAGGTCCTGTCATCATCCCCATAATTCAGTTGAGGATGTTGTAGCTCGGGGAAGCTCGGTTAAAGCCTCATGACGCACTTTTGGTGAGTGGCAGAACCAGGACGGGGACCGACAAGCTGACTTAGAGCCGTCACTCCAGCCCTGGGGGGCCTGGCTCCTTGTCTCTGGCTGTTCCTCTCTGTTTTTCTGGCTCATTGTCGGTCATCTCCATAGTTCTGGGCTCACCTGACTCTCTTCTTACTCTGTCCTCTCTTCCTAGGTGGACAGGCTGATGTCTCCCGGCAGTTTATCTCCAGCTGGGTCTTTCCTGATCCTCAGACCCACATACCCTCCCGTCTATGAGCCAGGGAGGCTTCACATGACATAGCTCAGCTGGCAAACATTTACTAGATGCCATCCACTAAGGCTTTTAATAAACTCCCCAATCAGTAGCCAAAGGCCGTGAGCAGAAAGCCTGCACCTCATTGCTGGTCTAAGCTGTGCTGATCACTGACTCTGTCACAAGAACGGAAACTCGCCTTTTGGGATGTCCTGGCTTAGTGAATGGTGTTTCGCTGAACTAGCAGTATAATTTGAGGGCCAGTGATAAAGGCAAAAGTAAGTTTCTTTGTTCAAATTTACCAGTAATTTTAAGACAGACAACAGAGCATTAGGCCAAGGGTGGTGTCCTTCCGTTGCAAGGCCCCGGGTGACTGCCCACGGAGCAGGCCCCACCACTTCTGCTGTCACAGCTGACCTGTCAGAGGCCTGGGGGTCAGTCCTCTCTCAGGGCCACATCCAGCAGAACACCCGTCTTGCCAGGCCTGCTGCTGTAACTGTTCCTCTT